ACACCAGTGGTGGAACGCAAGCCCTCCCCCCTTCACAAGGCCAGAAAGATGCCATCTGGCAGCACTGGTTCTCACGGTCTCCCTATCGCTGTTTACGGCAAGCGGCAGAGCAGCAAGCAAGCCAGGATCAGAGAAGGGAACAAGCAAAACATGGCAGCTAGTTGACACCTCTCCCCACAGCAGACAGCCTGTGAGGTAGGTGGGGCTGAGAGAGCTCTTTTGAGAACTGCTTTTGAAAGAACAGCTCCGAGAGAACTGGTTTGGTGTCATGGTTGAGTGCGTGGACTCTAATCTGGGAAGAACCGGGTTTGATTCCCCACTCCTCCACTCGCACCTGGCTGGATGACCTTGGGCAAGCCGTAGTTCTGACAAGAGCTGTTCTTGAAAAAAGAGCAGTTTCTGTCAAGAGCTCTCTCAGCCCCACCTACCTCCCAGGGTGTCTGTTGTGGGGAGGGGAAGGGAAAGGAGGTTGTAAGCCGCTCTGAGACTCCTTTGGGTGGGGAAGGGCGGGGTATGAATCCAATCTCCTCTTCTTCTTCTTCTTGTGACTGACCCAAGGTCACCCAGCTGGCTGCATGTGGAGGCATGGGGAATCAAATCAAGAGTCCGCCACTCTTAACCACTACACCAAAAGGCCCCCTCCCTGAGGCCCCAGGGAGCCTCTGCAGTGACAGAAGTCCCCAGCGGCCTAGGAGAACCAACAGCCCAGCTTATTAGGCACCTTCGGCGGCTCCGCCTTTGCTCCACATCGAACAGAAAGCACTGCTTTCCCACATACCTTGTGCAATCCTCAGCTTCACTTCCAGGTCAACGGGTGTGGAAACCACAGACTTGGTGAGGACCAGCACGTTCTCCAGGCCGATCACGACGACGAGGTATGGGAAGATCTCTCTAAGGGGAAAGGCAGAAACGAGAGCAGAGCCAAGCATGAGAAGCACCATAAAGACAGATCTGCGCAAGGCAGCTTGTGAGCTCCGAGAGCACCTTTCAATCACATTCAACAAGGGGGGGGCACATTTGTGACCAACACTGGTTATGTGCATGCGTAAAGTGCCTTCAAGTCGCAGCTGACTTCTGGCGACCCCATACGGTTTTCAAGGCAAGAGGATAACAGAGGAAGTTTGCCATTGCCTGCCTCTAACAATATACAGGGAAACCAGTGTATATTAAATTATGTAAGGAAAACTAAACACTGCACCAACACTATCTACAGCCTATAAGCGGGGAGGGCGGGGTATAAATTGAATAAAATAAATAAATAATAAACTGTAATTTTATGCATAAAACATGTGCGTATTTTGTTAAGCAGCATATAATGGCTCATAGACATATATGCTTACAATCACAGAATCCTAGAATGTTAGAGTTGGCAGGGGCCTTGCAGGTCATCTAGCCCAACCCCCTGCACTCTGCAGGAGCATAGCCGAAAGATGGTCGTTCAGCCTCCGCTTGAAAACGTCCAGCGAAGGAGCATCCACCACCTCCTGAGGCAGACTGTTCCACTGCTCAACCACTCTTACAGTTAGCAAGTTTCTCCCGATATTTAGCCGGTATCGACTCCCTTGTCATTTCCACCCATTAGATCTAGTCTTGCAATTCGGAGCAAGAGAGAATAGATCTGCTCCATCTTCTACATAGAATTCTAGAATGTTAGAGATGGAAGGGGCCTTGCAGGTCATCTAGCCCAACCCCCTGCACTCTGCAGGAGCATAGCCGAAAGATGGTCGTTCAGCCTCCGCTTGAAAACGTCCAGCGAAGGAGCATCCACCACCTCCTGAGGCAGACTGTTCCACTGCTCAACCAGTCTGACGGTTAAGAAGTCCCTCCTGATATTTAGCCGGTATCGACTCCCTTGTCATTTCCACCCATTCGATCTAGCCTTTCAATCCGGAGAAAGAGAGAATAGATCTGCTCCATCTTCTACATGAGAGCCCTTCAAATATTTGAAGACTGCAATCATGTCCCCACTAAGCCTTCTCTTTCCCAGGCTAAACAGACCCCAACTTTCAGCCTTTCCTCATAAGACTTGGATTCAAACCCTCTCACCATCCTGGTCGCCCTCTTCTGGACACACTCGAGCTTGTCAACATCCTTCCTAAAATGTGGTGCCCAAAACTGGACACAGGACTCCAGGTGAGGCCTGACCATAGCAGAAGAGAGCGGAACCACCACCTCCCATGATCTGGACACAATGCTTCTGTGAATGCATCCTAAGATTGCATTCGCTTTATTCACATCCACATCGCACTGCAGGCTCATGTTTAGCTTGTGATCAACCAGAACACTTTGATCCCTTTCACATGTGCTGCTGTCAAGCCAAGTCCCTCCCATTCTATATCTGTGCCTTTGATTTTTTGTACCTAAGTGTAGGACTTTGCATTTATCTCTATTGAAATTCATTTTATTTGTCTCCGCCCACTGTTCCAGCCTATCTAGATCATTTTGAATCCTGACTCTGTCTTCTTCAGAATTAGCAATCCCACCCAGCTTCGTGTCATCTGCAAATCTGATAAGCATCCCCTCTATGTCTTCCTCCAGGTCATTTATAAAAACACTGAACAACACCGGGCCCAGGACCGAGCCCTGCGGCACTCCACTCGAGACTTCCCTCCACGCAGACGCAGAGCCATCTATGAGCATTTGTTGGGTACGATTTTTCAACCAACCATGAATCCATTCAACGGTTGCACCATCCAGCCCACACTTAACCATTTTATCCTCAAGGATATCATGAGAAACTTTGTCAAAAGCTTTACTGAAATATAGATACACTATGATACACCAGAGAACTCTTGGTTCTCTTTTGTCAATCACAGCAAGTGGGAAGACTTTTCACGTGGTGAGAAAAAAAAATTGGGATTGGCTGGGGGTATATCAAGTTCTGGCTTGGTCCCAGCTGGGAAAGAAGATGTACATGTAAAGTATGCTGAAGGTGACGTGACTCTGATGAAGTTGTTTTACGAAAACGGGATTCTGACCTAGGATAACAAGTCAGATGCTATAGTTCAAATCAAAACTGTTCCAAATTAACTAATTTTAACTGAACAGTGAGTTTCAATATTCTTCAGATGAATACACTAGATACACTAGATACAAAGACAAATGTTCCCTCTAAGCTGTGGAGTCTTGTGAGTAAAAATTCTACTTTGTGAGCTACTGGCATAGGGGAGCGGTGGCACAGTGGCTATATCCCACTGTCTTAACATCTGAACTGTGTTAGTTCAAGCCCCGCGCTGGTGTGAGCAGCCAGCCTGTTGTCCCCAGCTCATCGTCCACCCAGCGATTCGAAAGCTTCGGCGAGTAGATAAAATGGGAACCACTCCTTAGAGAGGGTGGGCACACCAATCTCCCTCGTGGGAGGGTGTTAGCTGACGGTCGGACGTCCTGGTCGAGGTTCGGAAAGGTGAAATAACTTCTCGGCTACGAAAGAATCCCAGCAGTGGATGTTCCGGCCAGGCGGTGGCAGTGTGGCGATTGACATACGGGTCCTGAAGCCTGGTCAACAAGCAGCCGTGCGGAAAACGACGGAGCCAAGCCAGAAGACGTCTACACCGGGCAGTGACGGCGTGTGCAATTAAATGAATTTATGTTGTCTTCCCTTTCCCCTACAAACATGGTTAGTCCCTTGTCTATATTGAGTAACTGTACATCGCTTTGAGCCCACTGGGGAAAGAGATTAATAAATGGAAAGTGTTATTATTATTATTAATATATGTATATGAGCCATTATATGCCCTTAACAAAATACACACAGGTTTTATACATGAAAATTACAGTTCAGTATTTCTTACAGGTTATAGTGGGGGTGCAGTGCGTAGTTTTCCTTACATTGCTTGCCTCTGTGCAGCCATCCTGGACTTCCTCGGGGGTCTCCCATCCAAATACTAAAGAGAGTCTAGCACTCCTACGTTTCCAGGATCTGATGAGATCAAGCCAGCCTGCGCCACACAGGCCAGGGCGAGAGACAAACAGAGGTGGCTTGCCCTTACCTGCCTCTACATAGCAAACAGCGTTCCCTCTAAGCTTAGTGTGAGCTAGCTCACAGTTTTTTTAGCCTCCGGCTCACACATTTTTGTCTTCGCTCAGGAAGGAGGGCTCCAGAGCAAACTAATTGATGCAGCAGACAAATCGCTCCCTCACAACTTTAATGGCAGTGGCTCACAAAGTAGAGTCTTTGCTCACAAGACTCCGCAGCTTAGAGGGAGCATTGATAGCAACGCGGGACTTCCTCAGAGGTCTCCCATCCAAGTACTAACCAGGGCCGACCCTGCTTAGCTTCTGGGTTAGTGTCAGCTAAGCTGCCATGGAGGTTTGGGGGGGGGGGTCGGTTGTATTCTAATTGCCTTTGCATTCCTTCTGTGCTTTTTCGCTGCTGTAACGCTTATCTCTAAGTTCTGCAGGCGGTGGGATGTTGATATCTAGTTCTAAGGGAACCGTGGGAGTGAGCTTGGTTCCCAGCTTCAGTGCAAAACGGCCGGAGCGCCTTCTCCCGCACGCGGGAGTGTGGCTAATTGGCCAGGGCAGTGGGGGGGGTTGTGCATACGAATACCCTATATCCTATTACGCCCCAGGGGCAGCCGCCATTCTTAACAGTGCCTATGTTAATGCATCTATGGCTCTTCAATAAAGTATTACCTTTCCTGATAAGCGTGTACTACGTTGTTGGCTGTGGGTTCTGACATTCTGTTAAGAATGGCGGCTGCCCCTTGGGCATAATAGGATATAGGGTATTTGTATGCACCCCCCCACTGCTCCCCCACAGCAACCCCAGCCTGGAGATGTGCCCATTTGGCTCAGGGCAAGACTGCTGTGAGTTTAACAAATACTTCCAGAAAGGCAGGCAGTGCGATTTCAATAAGAAGCCTGAGTCTATGTGCACACACACGTCAGAGGCTGACCTCCCTTACCACCACGTGGCAGCCTAGAGTTGCAGAAGGCAGCAGCCAAAGCATCTGCGGATGGTCCACAGATTCCAAACAGCCCCGGTCCCCGCCCCACCAGCCGAGGGAAGCCCAGCACCGGCCCTGGCGACGGGCATGTGTGGCAGCTCATAGGGAGAAATGCAAAACTCCTCTGCCGTGTTTGTGCAACTTGCTGAGCTGCTTGCATAAGCAGGTGATGCAAGACGCACATCAAGGCCAGGCAGCAAAAGAGGTTCAAATGCCTCAGACTAACCCGGGGGGAAAACACGATCTAAGAAAAAAAGAATTGGTGGTCCTCCAGAGACCTGCTCGAAGCAGCTCATAGAAACAGTTAACACCACAGAAATACTTTTTTTTGTTTTTTAATCACCACTAATGAAAGAACCTGTCTGGAGTGCAGAAAGAATCCCCAGGTACAGGTGACCCCCCCCCTTTTCCTGAGAGCTGCAGAGAGGGTTGCTCGTGCAGAGAGGGTTAAAATCAGGATGCTGTGGTCAGTGTTGCCTCTAAGCTGAGTTGGTGTGAGGTAGCTCACAGTTTTTTAGCCTCCGGCTCACACATTTTTGTCTTAGCTCAGGAAGGAGGGGCTCCAGAGCAAACTAATTCATGCAGGAGCCAAATTCCTCACTCCCAACTTTAATGCCAGTAGCTCACAAAGTAGAATTTTTGCTCACAAGACTCCACAGCTTAGAGGGAGCATCGGTTGGGGTTCCTTCCTGCTTAAGCACGTCTCCCCAACCACAAAGACCTGGTTCAAATCCTCACTTAGCTCAGCGGGTGACTTTGCACGAGTCACCTGTCAGCCTAGCCTGCCTCACTGGGTCGTTGTCAGTTTCCACTGATACGCAGGGGGCAATTTTAGTCCATTCCCCTCTCCTGCCGTAGACATCAGACTCACCTCCTCAGGCTGTTTCTGGGGGACGCCTGCCCCTCAGGAATCATTTGGGGTTGTAGTGGGAAGTAGGGGGCAGTGAGGAAATCCAGCTGTGACGGAAAACCCTTCTGTCTGCAGGATCCAAGCCACTGTGATTATTTTTCTCAATATTTACAGAGGGAAAGTAGCCATGAGGGGCTGGGGCCCATGTGAAGGAAAGAAGGGCTATTTTGTGTTTGGTGTAGTGGTTAAGTGTGTGGACTCTAATCTGGGAGAACCAGGTTTGATTCCCCACTCCTCCACTTGTACCCGCTGATGTGACCTTGGGTCAGTCACAAGCTCTGGCACAGCTGTCCCTGGAAAAGAGCAGTTTCTGTCCGGAGCTCTCTCAGCCTCACCCACCTCACAGGGTGTCTGTTGTGGGGAGGGGAAGGGAAAGGAGTTTGTAAGCCGCTCTGAGACACCTTTGGGTAGTGAAGGGCGAGGTATGAATCCAATCTCTTCTCTCTTCTTCTCTCTCTATTTAGCTTTTAACCCACTGTGGGGGGCAGGGGGAATAAAAGTATCTATACAGTTTTCCCAGTGGGGGTGAGGCAATTTGAGGCAGGCAAAGAGTAATGTTAGGGGCACTGTTCCCTCTAAGCTGAGTTAGGGTGAGCCAGCTCATAGTTTTTTAGCCTCCGGCTCACACATTTCTGTCTTCGCTCAGGAAGGAGGGCTCCAGAGCAAACTGATTGATGCAGTAGCCAAATCGCTCGCTCACAACTTTTAATTCCAGTGGCTCACAAAGTAGAATTTTTGCTCGCAAGACTCCACAGCTTAGAGGAAGCATTGGGTGTTCCCTCCCACACACACACACACACAAAAACCATGGCTCCAAGAAAGCTCTTTCATGTTCTCTGGAGATACAGCTCACTCCTGGCAATCTGTGAAACATTTGCTTTACTCACAGAGAAAGAAGTTTACAAGGCAGCAAAAATACCCCAGATATCAACAGCATCAGCCATTATTAAAGTCAGATGTTTTCCACCCCATGTGGAAGTGTGTTTTCAGGCTATGGGCATTTGGGAAATGGAAAACACAAAGTCTTCTGCCACCAGAACAGGTCCCGTCCGTCCCCCCTTTTATGGGACATTTTCTACCCTAAGGTACACTGGAATTTGGCTTGGGATACAAATATTCCCTGGGATGCGAGTTTTTTTCCTTAGCAGTTC